TGACTTAAAGTTCAAGAAAGGAAGTTGTAATGATATATTTTTTAAATAAGAAAACAAAATTATGAGGAAACAAATAGAAGCAAAAGTATTTTTAATATCCTTAAGCAACAAATTATTGATGATACTATAATATGGAGCAAAAGTTCTATATAAACCTTTCCCTCTCATATTGTTCACTTGCCTTGCCAAAGAAATTCATAATGGATGATCACTTGATCTCATTCTTACCCTTTTTTCTATATTCACTAGTTTCATCTTTTTTGTTTCACAGTGTCTAAAAGTGGGAAAGAGATATAAAACCTCAGTGAAAACATTGAAGCTTCCCCCAGGGCCATGGAAGCTTACACCACTTAGTTGGCTCTCTACCCCATCATCGTTTGAGAGAACTTGCTAAAAAACACGGTCCTCTCATGCACCTACAACTTGGTGAGACATCAACCATCGTGGTTTCTTCTCCAGAAGTGGCCAAAGATGTCATGAAAACCTATGATGCCATCTTTGCTCAAAGACCCCATCAAATTGCGGCAGACATCATGTGTTATGGTTCCATTGACATTACCATATGGAGGGTATTGGAAGCAGCTAAGAAGAATATGCTCACAAGAGCTTCTAAGCAACACACGTGTGATGTCATTTCGATCAATAAGAGAAGCAGAAGTGCTGAATTTAGTAAGATATATTGAGGCCAACACTGGTTCTTGTGTGAACCTCAGTGAAAAATTAGCATGCATGACAAGTATCATCACTGCAAGGATCAAGAAGAGTTCATTTCCCTTGTCAAGAAACTTATAAAAATGGCCGAAAGTCTAATTATTTCTGTTTTGTTCCCTTCTCAAAAATGGCTTCATGTGATCAGTGGGGAGAAAACTAGAGTGGAGGAGTTGCACAGAAAATATGATGTAATAATTGGAATCATCATTACAGAGGCAGAAAAATATATTGGTGAAGTAGAGGTTAATAGTCTGCTCTCAGTTCTTCTAAATATGAAAAATCAAGGTGCCCTCGAATATCCTTTAACAATCGATAACATCAAGGCTGTAATGTGGGTGAGTGTGTGCATTACTTTCAGTTATTATTTACTTATGATACTGCATATTATATTTAAGACTGATCTTCATTTCATGTGACTATAAAATTAAATATACAAAAGCACAAAATATTTCATCTGGCGTTATATAACTATACATGCACACACACACACTCATATAACTCTAAATATTTCTTCTTAGGATTTTCCTTTTTATGGGAATGTTTTGTAGCATATGCATATAGGTATAAATTCAAAAGCTAATAAATTTGAATTGATTTTCTTGTAGAACATGTTTGCTGCTGGAACTAATTCATCACCTTCAGTCATATCATGGGCCATGTCAGAGATGTTGGAAAACCCAAAAGTATTAAACACAGCTCAGGAAGAAGTTAGAAGAGTTTTTGGTAGTAAAGGATACATGAATGAAGAATCACTTGAAGAACTAAAATATCTGAAAGCAGTGATCAAAGAAACACTGAGATTGCACCCTCCTTCCCCTCTTCTAGTTCCAAGGGAATGTAGAGAAAGTTGTGAGGTGAAAGGGTATACAATACCTGCTGGGACCAAAGTGATGGTAAATGCATGGGCAATTGGAAGAGACCCTGATTATTGGAATGATCCAGACAAGTTTTATCCTGAGAGATTCATGAACAGTCAAATCGATTATAAAGGATCCCATCATGAATTCATACCCTTTGGTGCTGGAAGGAGAATTGTGTCCTGGCATGTCTTTTGGGACAAATATCATTGAACTTTGTCTTGCACAACTACTTTACTATTTTAATTGGAAACTTCCAAATGGAAACAAGGAAAACTTGGAAATGACTGAAGCTTTGGGAGCCTTCTCAAGCAGGAAAACAAATCTAGTATTAGTTCCCGTTTCTCATAATCCTTTTCCTATTTCATCAGACCATAATTAAATTTTAGTCATTATAATGTGCGAAAAAAATGTTTTTGTACAATAAATGTGTGTGATTACGGTTTTTCTTCTCAAGAAGAAAAACGGATTTAGTCTTAGTTCCCATTTCTTACAATCCTTTTCCTATTTCATCAAACCTTAAATTCTAATCATTAAAGTGTCTATATATCATGTTTCACTGTTGTCCTTGTTCCCTTTCTTTTATGTTACTTGTCTGTTAAGATATTGTGAGTGAAAGAAAATAAGATGTGAAGTTTATCTTCTTCAAAAAAACACTCAGTTTATTTAAGGCTTATTTTCCCTATTTGCTTTTTGTATCTTTAAGATGCTTTTTATTTTTATTTTTAAGACTAGCTAGTGCCATTCTTCATTTAACTTTATCAAGTTTCATATGAAATACTAATATAAACTTTGAAACTAGACCAACGGTCAATATGAAATACCAATTAATAGCAACAACACTAAAGTAATTATGTCTAAAAAAATTATTACGAATTTGTAAGAAGAATCGATCCATCATAAAAATCCTAGGAAATATATTGTGACAAGGGTAATCAGTAAATTTTATGATTAAATTTTAATCTTTGTAACAAATTATTAGTAAATAATATTGGTAGATTTTGGACAAAAATTGATTACATTGTGACTAGCTACTTCATCACAATAATAATTTGAAGTTTTTTAGTGATGAAAACTTGTGACAACTACACTTTTTTATTAATAAAATCGTAACAAAAGACACTACGAATTATATTAAAATCAGTTAGTGATATTTTCTGTCCTCAACTACACCTGTCACAAAATCTATCATAAAGTAAATAAATGGTCTTAGCTTGTGAAGTATTTCTTCAAGAAAACAAAAATAAAGAGTAATTAAATTGTTTTAATACACTTAAACGAAATGCTTAACTTAAAATGATGTTCGCTTTACTTTTGCTCAACGGGGTGACATTTAAGCAAACATTGGCATACACTTATAAGAGAAATCATGTTACTGTCCATAATTTTGCTCTTGAATAATTGTTCAAAGCAACTTTGGAATATACACTTAAGAGATTGTGATTAGCGTCCATGATTTTTCTTAAGTAGTTACTCAAAGCAAAAAATAAGAGATTCTTAAGTAATTGTATTTCTAAATTCATATTAATTTGAAACATTGGTCATGAACTCACCTTATTTTAGTTTTAAATATTAGAACCTTGCTTTCGTACATTTGTAAGGTAAACTAATTTTTAATTTTTTGAATTAACTGTGATATATTTAAAAGTGGTGAAACCATAAATAATGATTGTCTAATTCAATGGTGTTGATTTTCATCATCACTGTCGGAAGTAGGTTCAATGTCAAAGCTTCAAAATTCAATTACAACTTATAATATTCTTGGTATGCAATTTGGTATATAAAGTTTGATTGTAGTAATAATAAAGATAATTAATAATAGAAGGAATGTTCCTCTTATGTTGGGATTTAGTTACTCACCAACAAGTACACAATAATGTTTTATAAAAGTGTTTGATCAATGGAAGAATAATGATTTATAAAAGGGTTCGATCAATGGAAGAAGAAGAGTGATTTTTATGATACGTTATAAAAATATTTTATATTCTTCTAATTTTGTAATCAATTATGTTTCAGTGGAGATTGTGAGACCGAGACACTAACCTTTGACTGGTGCGCTTCGCTTGTCTGCTTCCAGTTTGGACCGATCGGTCACCTTCAATATTGGCTGCTTAGTCACCCTCTTTATAAAAAATGGGAGGTACCTGCAAAAGGCCCTCCGACGCTCAAGTTAGAAACTGTATTAAGAATTGTTTGTTACAGTTTAAATATTGAAAGAAATCCTAATAAGACATAAATAGGGCGTATTGTAGTATGACTTTCCTCCTCCTCTTTTACCTCAAACCTAAACCCTTATTTATAGAGTTTAAAGGAATCTGACATTAATTCACCTCTTAATGGTCATTAATGCCAACCTTTAATTGTTTAACGTTAGCCGTTATCACATTCATTGTGCATCAACTCTGCTCAACAATTGTCGAGACCGAACGGATGGGAAGCTGGTCGATACCGCTCGGACTTCGAATCTATAGAGGAATTTACCTCTTCGCCGAGTGGGATTTACCGCTCGGTCTTCAAATCTTTATAGAGGGATTTACCTTTTGGACGAGTGGGATTTACCGCTCGGCCAAGAGGCTTTACCTCTTGGTCTTTATCTTCAATTTTGACGAGAGGGGTTTACCTCTCGGCCGAGTGGGATTTACCGCTCGGTCTTTTTCTTCAGACTCTTCGAGAGACTTTTTTCGCTGGATATGCACTTCTTTAGCAACGTTTGGGAACAATTGATTGGGCATCAAGTACCTGGCCTTATTTATTCCATAATAAAGCGTAGGACAATAACAAAAAGTCTAAATCAAATGAAACTAATTTACCATGACATTAATAGGTTTTGGAAGTTTCTCCTAGTTGATAAATCCACGAACCGACCGTTCCCGATGACGACTGGGGACTGCGACTATAGCCCGCCCTCGCGCGTCTTTCCTATTGCCCGTTCGGGGCTTCTTTGCGAATATCCTTCCTTGGGGAGGTTGTATATTGCTTCCTTTATAAACCTACGAAGATGTCCCGCCCGGATAAGATTTTCTATTTCATTTTTTAACGTGATGCAGTCTTCTATAGTATGTCCATGGTTTTGATGGTACCAACAACTCTTCCTTTCATTTGCGTTTCTTGGAGATGGTTTCCTTCGGGGTGTGAGAAGTTCTGCGCTAAGGGCTTCTTCGAGAACTTTTGCCCTAGGTGCATTGAGGGTTGTATAATGGTGAAACTTGAATGTCCGGGGAAGCTCCCTATTCTTATCGTTATTGTCGAACGGTCGTTTGCCGTCCTTTCTACTTCCGCCTACATCAGCCTCTTGCTGTCGTTTCTTGTGACAATCGCATTCTCTATACGAATGAACTCAGCTGCTCGTCTTGGAGCTCCTCCATTTCGTTTTTGGCGTCGTGCTACAATTTTTCCGCAAAATATCCTGGTCTCATACACGAAGGCAAAATTGATGATAAAAGATTGATCTATCTCTCTAACCCGTCGTGCGGTTTCAGTATACCTCTTCATAAAAGCCTTCAAAGTTTATCCTTTCTCCTGCTTAGTATTTACCAAATCTGCCGGTGTTACCTCCTGTTTCCGATTGGATGCGTATTGTCTCCTAAAGAGGTTTTCACAGTAGCGAAAGCAATCCATGTGTTGTGAGAAGAGTGTTAGACCATCCAATGCCTCTTCCTTAAGGTGATAATGAGAAGGCTTTGCACATGATAGGGTGCTGTTTGTATAGAATGCCATTGCATTACGAACGTCCTTAAGTGATTATCCGGATCAGCCGAACCACATACTTATCCAATACGGGGGGAGTCTTTTATGGCATTGGGGTTTGCATGATGGTCGTCGTGAAGGAAAATAAACTGGTAGGCCGCACGGTCTGTAGGGGTGTTGGTTCCCTTCTAACCCGACCGTTCGGGTTGGCGTGATTATGGCTTGCCTCATTAGCATTCTCCCGATTCGAGGCGGACCGCATGGGAGGTTCCCGTTCAGCCCTTAGCGCCCTCATCTCCTCCTCATGCCTCCGTCGCATCTCTTGCTGTGCATGCACCTGCGCTTGTATAGTCTGCGCCTGTGCCTCAATCTGGGCTTGTAACTCTCTTATTAAATCTCTGGTGCTCTACTCTCCATATTTCTTGTGGTCACCATTAGGTGTCTTCAGCTTGCTCTCGGCCCCACGTGGGCGCCAAAATGTTGCAGTGGAGATGTGAGACCGAGACACTAACCTTCGACTGGTGCGCTTTGCTTGTCTGCTTCCAGTTTGAACCGATCGGTCACCTTCAATATTGGCTGTTTAGTCACCCTCTTTATAAAAAAGGGGAGGGTACCTGCAAAAGGCCCTCCGACGCTCAAGTTAGAAACTGTATTAAGAATTGTTGTTACAGTTTAAAATTGAAAGAAATCCTAATAAGACATAAATAGGGCGTATTGTAGTATGACTTTCCTTCTGTTTTACCTCAAACCTAAAACTTATTTATTAGAGTTTAAAGGAATCTGACATTAATTCATCTCTTAAGGGTATTATGTCAACCTTAGTTTCTAACGGGTAGCCGTTATCACATGGAAAAAAAAATAGCATCAATCTAAGATATAACGAAATTTTAGTTATCTTTCCGTAGTATAATTTTTATTTTGAACAATATAATATTTATACACTTTTAAGTAATTGAAATGATTTTTAATGTGATATTTTTCCTTAATTATTGATGCTTTAATATTTTCTTTTTATCCCGATACAATTTTAAAAATTTAAAGTCTATTTAATATTGTTTTCAATTATAATTTTATTTTTAGTTCGCTGACGTTTTTTTAGAACTCCCCAAATAATTAGTGGTTTTGAAGAGAATTTAGTTTAATTTATTCTTTTGCATTTTACATTTTAGTTATTCAAAAAATTTATAATAACATTTTTCATTTCAACTTTAATTTATATTTCAAAAAAATTAAATGTTTAGATTAAGTTATTTTTTAAAAAATTATAGTAACCGATATTAGATAATTGAATATTATTTTTCGATTAGTAATGCTAAATGAAAATAGGTAGGTAACAAATACCCTTTACATTTAATGAAATCATTTTAAATATAATTAATGATTCTCTAATTATTTTCTAAATATATAAATTAAAAAAAATATTATCCCATGATTAAATCTTTTTAAATTTTTCATTTATTTCTCACTTCTTTCTCTTGATTCAAATAGCTAAAATTTCAACCTTTTTTCTCTTCTTTGCTTATATTTTCAAATAAAATTTTGTACAGTTTGAACTCTTTTTCGCTTCTTTTGTTATATTTTTCAGATAGGATTTTGTAACGTGATGTTAGTGGAATGTTTCGCAGCCGATGGAACATAATAGACGAGTCATTGTACGTGGTGATTGTACATACATGTCTTTCCGTATTCAAAAAAAAAAAATCCCTCTTTAATTATTT